GCCCTCCTGCCCGGCTGAACATTTGCCCCTTCTGGTACAGCATGTGATGGTCCCGGGAATCAGGCTGGGAACAGTACCTGGAACTGTTTTTCTCTCCAACAGGCTGTTCTGTCCGCTTGCATTCCAGGAAATCCAAACCCGTGAGAAACAACCTGAGAGCGCACTGCCACCCAGTGGGGATGGAGGCACGGGTGCGAGCAGCCGGGGACACCGGTATTGCATTTGTGTTCAGCGGCAGGGAGAGAAAAAAACCTCTCAGGCAGAAGAGTAAAGCACCCCAGAATACAATAAGAGGGAAACTTGGTTTTAGAATCCCAGACAAGTTTGGGTTGGAAGGGACCTTAAAGCTCATCCACTTCCAACCCCCTGCCACGGGCAGGGACACCTTCCACTAGAGCAGGTTGCTCCAAGCCCCTGTGTCCAACCTGGCCTTGAACACTGCCAGGGATGGGGCAGCCACAGCTTCTGTGGGCACCTGTGCCAGTGTCTCACCATCCTCACAGGGAAAAATTTCTTGCTAATGTCTAATGTAAATCTCACCTCTGTCAGGTTAAAGCCATTCCCCCTTGTCCTGTCACTACAGGCCCTTGTCAAAATCCCCTCTCCTGATTTCTTGTAGCCCTTTTATGCACTGGAAGCTTCTCTAAAGTCTCTCCGGAGCCTTCTTTCTCCAGGCTGAACGCGCCAAACTCTGTCAGACCATCAGGTCTGTTTGGTCTGCTTTATTAGAAAACAGCTACAATGAATGTTCAGTGGAACCAAATTTGTGTTCATCTGTAGCAACGTTTGCAAACCGAGATGGATGTTTTTGGTCACGCAGAACTGAAAAACTAACAAAGTATCTTCAAGCAAACAAACAAAAAAAACAAACAAACAAACCATTTTTAACTTAAACTAACATGCCAACCACTGGAAAAAGCACAGCTTTGGAGGAAACTGCAGTGCGTTTCATTGAAGTTACAAATCTTTCATTCCAAAAGCATCTTCTCTTTTTCACTAGTAGGTGCTGCAAATCCAACTTAATACAATAAATAGTTGAACTAATTTCAGGACCAGGCCGAGCCAGTTCAAGCACAGAACAGACAGAGCTGGGAATTAAATTTCCCAGCTACACGTCACATTTCTTTGCCTGATTGGAGGTATTGTGTTGGCAGGAGTAAACTACAGCTGGTCCCTTTGTTTTTCTGTGGGGGGAAGGAATGGAGATAATTTAAGGATATACTGTACAGAGGAAATGCAAGGACTGAGCACATATACACATACTCCCCACAGGACCCCAGTGACACTATTTCTACACATTGCTACCTGAAGCTAAAAAAACACATCATTGCAGTCTGTGCCACAGGGGCATTGGAGGTATTGGGTTCCTTCACAGTTCTCCTGCGGTCAGACAGAAACTGCCCCGGGCACAATCCTACGGTGCGTGTAAGACTTCCTGAGGGTAACACTCCCGTGATGAGACACCCCCCGAGGCAGGACACACTCCTCAGTCAGCTTCTGAGTTTCAGGGTCCCAGCACAGCACTGTCGCAATGACTTCGTTCTTTTCGTCTCGGCCCCCAGTGATAAACAGCTTGTTGTTGCAAGGAGAAATCCCACAGCTGGCTCTCTCATGGGTGAACTGAGTGACCAGGCACCATGTGTCTTCCTGGGGGCTGTAGGAGTAGAGTGCTTTCATTGCCCCACCTGCAGAGGAAATGGATATCAGTTTGCACTGGCCATTCTTGTAAGAGGTTTTAACTAAAACACCCACTTCAACAAGGCTCCAATCCTGACAGGTGTAAGAATGATTTATGCCCCAAAGCTAAAAAAAAAAGCAAGGTCACAGGATACTGTATTGTTTGGAAAGCCAGATCCTCAGAAGGCCACTTATTGTTCATAAGGCTGTGGAATTTAAGGCCAGAACAAACTGCTGTGGTTATGCAGTGTGACCACAGTGCACCCAGCCACAGACCTTTCTCAGACCTGCTGCTTTAGCTAAGGATACAACTTCAGAAAAGTACAGTCTTGGTTAAAAGAGCTTCGACCATGAAGGACTGGATGTGGTCAGCTGTAGAAATGGGTACATGACTTTTTCACTGAGTCCTCTTAACTTCAGTGTCCTTCTGCCTGGGGCTGGCTGTTTCCAAAAGCCCCTTCCTCATTTAGGGGTTTGTCAGACTGAACCAATACTTTTCACATGGGTATGCTAAACAGAGAGTGACCTTCCGTTTCCCCATGTTTCCCAAATCTGCAGTCATTCTTGAAACCTTTTGCGCATCTTTTCCCATTTTGCAGGGTCCTTTTATCTTGAAATACTTAAGAAAGGCTATGGAAATACATTCTATCCTAAGAGTACCAACAGCCAAATGGTTCTTACTCTGAAATTTTGCAGGGACTGATGTGTTTTCTATAGCAGCTGTATAGAATAGGGTTGGGGAAACCTTGAAGCCATGGTCTTACTGATGAGATGCAACAATGCTTGTGATCCTGCCTGCCAGCAAAGGGAGCATTTACCTGTTGTAGTTACAGCAAAAGCTGCTGGTTTTGGCAATACTAGCCCAGTACTGAAGGGATGATCAAGTCATTGTAAGGTGACTTAAGCAAGTTTTATTTCCCAATTGGAGCAGACTGAAAACATACACATTGTTAGTTACAGTGATTCATCAGGGAGTTGGTAATTCATTGGTCTGGGTAATTTGATTGCTTTGGATGCAGTAACCAAATGTTCTTTTATCTTTTAAACTTCAGGTGGGGCTGATTTCTATCCAATTGAACTAGATTTGTCTCTCAGATAGGTAAACTATAGGTTTACTGGTGGATATTCCTGTCTGAGAGATGCTGAATGAATGTAACGTGAGTATTGTGTCAATTTTTATCAGGAGTTGTATCAGCTAGACCATAAGTCATGCCTCCTTCTTCTGTCTGTCATGCTGTACAAAAAGGGTGAGGTCAATCCTGTGCTGAGGAGAAGCACAAGGTATTTACATGCATCTATATGTATGCACAGACATGCAGATTATAAATCTCCCTTCAGAGCACCATTTATTACTTGATGATACTCTGGCTTTATGCCAACCCTCGCTCAGCGCAAGATTGATTATACCGCAAGTGATAAATCTCCTGCACAAAGGCTGAGAGAGGGAGGGGAAACTTCAGAGCTCATGTTTGGAAACAAATGTTCCTCTTTCCTTTTTTTGGTCCTTCCAGTGCCATCTGGAGATGTGTGCAGGCACCCTGCTCCCTCCACAGTTCAGCTCACCACCATTAAACTCTTGTTCTTCCATCTTTGCTTCCAATTACGGCAAATGACTGAATTAACCCCAAGTGTGACCTAGTGAAGAGATCTGGGTATCAGTCGCTCAGTCGCTCTGCTCCCATGACCTACTCCTAGTACTAATATCCCTACATAAATCCTGTATGCAGTGGGCTATGTAATGCCCCTTATGTGACATGATGTAGCCATGAGGTCATACCCTTGTTGCTATAAAGACACCTTTGGATGACTTTAAGCTGTGTCTGGGCTAGCTCCAGCTTTCCAAGACACCTACCATGCTAACAGGGAGTTTGACTTGGTGACTCTTCACTACTGTTTGTGCTGGATTTTCATCCCCCACTAAGCTTAATGGGAAGAACCGGATGACCATTCAATTCATAGCGTTTGTGAGTAAAACTAACAAACAGAAACAAGCCCTCTGGTGTCTGGAGGGAAGGACCATTAATGCTTCACTTACCCACAACATAAATGTGGTCCCGGAAACTTGCAGCATTGATGCATTTGGCTTCTACTGGCATGGCAGCTTTCAGGCTCCACATGTTGGTTGCAGGGTCATAGCACTGAGTCTTGTCCGTCGCCAGCTTCCCATTGGGTCCTCCCCCAATCACGTACAGTTTCTTCTTGTAGCTCGCTGCTGCAAAGGAGCTTACATTGACCATGAGAGGAGCAGCCTATATGACCATAAAAAATCATTAGTAACCTTCCGAAGTAGTCGGACTGATGCCTACGGGGTGGGAGCCTGCTGAATTTTAAGTGAGACATCCCTTTTAAGATGATCAGCAGGGTTCAGAAGATGACGTTTTGAGGGATAAGGGATAAGTATGTTTCAGCTTTTTCTGAAGACCGTAAAACCCTTAATAAAAATGCTATCATTATTTTAAATGCTATTATTAAAATTACATTATCAACAATTCAAAAGCTAGGAAATGTCAGAAATGCCCAAAATCTCCTTTACATACTTACAAGCATTGAAAAAAAAAAAACGTAAGAAACTTGTTCATTCTGATCTTTGTACTTGCAACAGTAATTGTTAGATTCCTCTGCATTGCTTTGCATCCCCTAAAATCTAGGGCTTGTATCTCCCATTATGATGCCTAATCTCATTACTTTCATGGATTATTGGCTGCCTAACGCTCTCTTCTCATTGCTTAAAGTGAAAATGTTTCTTCTTCCATCCTATTTACCTTGGAACCTGTACTTTCAACTTTAATGTATAACCTAAACCTGTATATAATGCACAGGTTGATATGCACATTTTATAGATATACGGGTATAGATATAGATACAGTATCAGAGCAGTAGTTTTCAGCCTGTGCTCTGTGCTTTCTCACTGATTTATGGACTAGTAGCTTTAAAAGCCAACTAAGAAAAGGGAAGTTTGGCATTAGATGTCTCCCAGGCAATGTTTGGCAGGCAGTCCTGTGACTTTTACTTTCTGAAGGACATGCATTCCTATAGAAAAAATATTTAGGGTTTTTACAGACCAGAAATACTTAAAAGAATTGTACTTGATCCTGTCTTGTTCATTTTTATGGTTCAAAGCCCTAACATTTTTTGATTAAAGTGTTCCAAATGGGTACAATGTTATGTGATTCAGCACCTTACCTCCGACCAGCAGTTATGAAAGGGATCGTATGCTTCCATACTGTTGATTCTCTGCATGCCATCAAACCCACCAATGACATAGACTTTGCCACCCAACACAGCCATTTTATGCCTCCATCGCCCAATGTTTAGATACTCAATTTGTATCCATTTGTTGATGGAGGCGTTGTATTTCCAGACATCATGTTTTGTTTCTTTGCCACCTGCAGTGTACATGACACATGTAAATATGATAGCACAGCTTGTATCTACTCAAAATCTCCATATGTTAACATTCTAAAATGTTCTCTCACAATAGAAAATATGTCACTGTTACTTACTGTTAGCACCTTAATTCCCTACATCAATGGCTTGGCCCTGTTATACCACAAGAAAAGTTCTATGTTTAGTTTACTGAATAGTGAAGGAAACTCTGAACAATTTATACAACCAAATATTCAGTAAAGATAAATCACTGTTCCTCACTTTACCAGACCACAACCACTTTCATTTTAATACCAAGTGAATGACCAATCACACACAGCTTGGGGATCTGCAGGTGATTTTGGTGCACCAACAGGGCTTTGCAGAATGCTGCCAAGTGACAAATAAACATGATTTAAACAAGATAGTGGAGGATGCTGCAGCTGGTAGAGCCAAATACCGTGAGGACAGGCCTGCACTTGGGAACTGCCAGTTTGTGCAGGGTAGATCCAGTCAGCTGCATCTACCAGCTAGTGGTTTACATGGTAAAATAAAAGACTTGACTCTGAACTCCTATCAACAGTAGTCCTGCGTGACATGTTAGTTTTACTATTCAACCTTGGGACCATATGGCTGGGCTCTAATTTTTGTACCTCTCCTGCTGGTCTCTTTATCCACTGACTTGGATGTGATTCATATTTATAGACTGAAGATCAGAACTGGACCCTGCAGACTTATTCTAGAGCTGACTTGCAAGTGAATCTTTACTCAGGCAGAGAGCAGTATTTTAAACAAGACTTTCGTTTGCATATCATTTTTGGTGTAAATGCAATATGAATGGATCTAGTTAAGCCTGAAACCACACTGAGTAGCTTATTCTATCACCTGCAACCTTATTAAACATTTGCTTCACTGGTGAATATACTGAAAAGAGAATTCATATTCCATTGAGAAAGTGTCTGCCTTCATTGGTATTCCGTACTGCAGCCAGATCACTGCAAACTGATGGAGCTCATCTCTGGGCCAAACAGCAGATTGAATAGGAGAGAATTAGCATGCTAGAAAGAGTCGTTTCTAATGCTTTTGTCTCAGTATTTTTCACATGTATGTGTCGAATTTTATTTGCACTCAAATAGCTGAAGTGGCTGACAGGCCTGAATGCAGCATTCATGATTACAATGGGGCTGAGAGACTGCAGGTGTTCCCCTTACCCTCCCTTGAAATTTCCCTTTCACATGAGCTTGTTCTTTCCTGCACAGGCTGGAACTCTGGTAAGAGCCTGAGCTAGACCAGGCACATCAGGGGACAGGGAGAGATTTTTGTGAGAACTGGAGGCTTATCTTGTTTCTGTTCTTTCTCTAGACCACAGTTCTTTCTAATTTGAGGAAGAAATGCAACTAAATTAGTAAAAGTAACAGAATGTTGAGTGATAATTCGTGTCATTTTCAGTTACACTACAAATGCAGTGTTTCAAAGCATTTAAACTGTTCAGGGAAATCATGATCTAAAAGTAGTCATAATCTTGTGCAAAGGATTTTCTTATATCTCAGATGCTGAAAGAGCAGGCAAGATGCCAAACTGTACCAAGACACTGAAGGAGTGAGCACATGGGAGGGGAGAACAATGTAGAAAAGATGCAAGTCAAGTTAGAAAAGAACCAGGTCACAGTTGCTACAAGAAAGAAAAGAAGAGTAGATGGACATGCAGGAGGAGGCAGATGTTTAATCAGGATTGAGACGCTACTAATTTGGTTTAGATGAAAAGAAACTACTAATGACTTTGGTCCCCTCAGACTTTTATTTAGGTGGGAAAGGGTAAAAAGGTCATTAGGAGAAAGGCTAAGAGGGAATGGGGAGATGGAATCAAAGATATGAAATTAAGCAGAAAAGGAAGAGGACTTGTGAGAACAGAAGCAAGAGGAAAGCCAGCTTAGACTCACCATAGCAGGGAAGGTGTTAGCCTGGCCTGAAAGCAGCCTGGATAGACCATAAAAGAAAAGCAGAGAAGAGACACTGGAAAAAATGTCAGAAATTAAATGAAGCAAAAAGCCTATGACCCTGAAAAAGAGGAAAGGGTAAGAGATTAAAGGCAAATAGAGAAGAGACCTCTCAACTCCAGCAAAAAGCCCATGACCTTGAAAAAGAGGAAAGGGTAAGAGATTAGAGGCAAATGGAAAAGAAACCTCTCAACTCAAGGGTGTGAACGTGTGAGGGATGTTCCCTACTTGGGATGTTTGACTTAGGTTCCCCTCTACAGCTAATTTTTAACAGAGGGTCTGCTGCCAGAGTAAAAAGAAACTCCCTATGGTGGGCTGAAAGGAAAAACCTCCTTTATTTGTAACTAAGGAAGGAATAATCTAATTCTTATCCCAGGATAAAGATTTCATAAACTTCAAATTGGAATGGGGTAATAAAAAGATGTGGATTCCCAAAGGAAAGAATGCAACAGAAGATATATGAATAAAGGCAATGAATCACTATTCATACTTCAGCAAAGCATTCACACTTGGCCCTCCTTCCTCCTTTCTACTCTCTTAAGTGAGCACAAAATCTGGTGGATGGTTTTGCAGGAAAAGTATCCTGCCCAAGGAGGCACTGCTCTCTATTATTGTCACTGTGAAGTGACAGGGATTAAAAGCTTGCTGTCGCTTTTCCTCTGGAAGGAGCTCATCAAACTTGTTTTTGACAGGCCATCAAAACCAGCTGTCAAACTGACTGTCAATCTTGAATTTAACCTTTTTGATTGTCAAAGTAAAAACTGTAGTTCCAGGATCAAACCCCTACATAGAACTCAGCTGCAGTTGTGTGGGAAGTTAAATACGTCCCCTAAGCTTCAAGCTGAGGGCCTGCAAATGGGATGTTCAGACCCATGCTATGTGTCTGGACCATTGGGTTTCATCCAGCCTTGACAGCCAATATTGCCATTAGCAAGTGGGCACTTTCGGAGTCCTGCCTGATGGCTGTTGAAGTGCTCCTTAAAGTGCAGTTTTCAGGTAGCAGCCAACCAGCAGTGACAGTTCTGTAGGTTCTTGACTGGTTCTTGCAGAATGAGTCCAATTCTGGCAGTCTTTTGCTTATCCACGTGGAGCTGCAAATGGACTTGTTACAAGAAGATGCTGGAGCAATAATTCTTTGGGTTATGTTTGGTAAGCTCTTCTCAGGGGCACTTCCATGATCACGGTCACTGAGTGCTTAGGGTGCTGCACCCAGGTAGCCATGCATACAGATTAATATAGTTTGAAAAGGAATCCTGTGCTAAGACCAAGGCAATGCAGCGTTCAGGCACATCCAGTGCTTCTCTGGAGCCTGTCCAAAGCCAAAGCATTGCGAACACCTCGAGTGCTTAATTCTCCTAAAGCTGCCTTGATCGTGATGCCAATAAAAGCTGGAAGCAATTGTGAGAACCCTCTGCTCCCCTCTTCCACTCCCAAAGCCTTGTTCCTTACCCGATATGTAGACTTCATTTTTTAGCGTAATGCATGCAAACTCCACCCATTTCTTAGTCTCATTCTCCGTCTCCTGCTCTGTGGTTGGTAATTTGGCTACTTCCAGGCGGCTTCGCCTCAAAGGATCCAGGCAAGTCACTTCTGCTACAAACTTCTCATCTTTTGTACAGCCCCCTATGATCATAAACACCTCAGACTGGAACTCGTGCATCCTGGGCTTGGTTCTTTCTGTAATAATCTAAATGCAAGCGAGACAGGGTGAGTACACAGGGCACTTACACCTGCAATTACAGAAAGGTCTGGTGATCTTTATTCCAATTACTTCCTTTGCAAATCCCGACTGGGTTACATCACCTGAGCCAATTATCAAATGTTTTCTAAGTAGAAAGCCTGAAAGCATCCTGGCAGCGTTCAGTAGAGGTTTTTTCAGCAGGATTTCTCCAACACTGGACTTGGTTGCTTTTTCCTACCCACTGGGGTAGGAGAATAAGCTCTCACATTATTTGTCCTGCAGAGATACGTTAAAGTGTCAAAGCAGTGACAATTCTCAACTGTGGTTTGGGGTTTTTTTATTTTTTCTTTGTTTATAAACCTTATCTTAAGCCCAAATTAGAAGATTTGCTTAAAGCCAGGCTCTGAAACATGGTTAGCTCTAATTTACTGCCTGTTGGCTCAGTTTATTTATCAGGTCTTTGTTTCAGGGACATGGGAATAAGTCAGCTCCTGGGTAGATGTGCACCAGGAGCAAAGAACGCAGGAGCTGCTTGGAAACTTGTGTTCTGCTTAGTGGAAATACTTGCCAGCAAGTGGAAATGAGTGCATTAGTGTCCTGAGATATGCCAGCTCTGTGCTGAAGGACTGAAGGAATAACCTTCTTTATGTTCCCCAATACCCCATACTGGAAGAAATGCAGTGTAAAAGGCATGGCTATTCCTCTGCTTATGCTGTATCATCAGGCATTTGCCAATTTGCACACCCCCAAAGTCTGCTGGGAGAGGTCTGCACTTCTCTGCAGAAATTGCAGTTACCTTCTGCTTGCCCCAGCGAAGCAGTCTGTGGACCCAGAGGTTAAACGCTGTGACAGTAGCAGCTTGCTTCTAGTTTTACTCCTCTTTCTACTTTTAACATGTTTCTATAAATTGGCATAATGTATCTATATTAAAAAATAATATTTACACAGACACCACTCTTGCATTTTCCCTGTGTTTAGCAAATTATTTTAATTTAAAACAGAACATTTGTCCCAGAACCTGCTGGGTTTCAGAGTTCTGTTTTTAACCCATCTGTTACCACCGCGAGGCATCAGCCCCTTTGAAGGTGAGTGTCATGAGTGTTCAACCCTGAGCAACACTCCCTTTATCTACCCCACGTGGACCTGACAGTGCTGCTGAGTGGGGCAAGGCTTCCTCAACAAGTTCCCACCAGACTGGCTGGCACTGCCCCAGGTCATCACGTACTGTCTTATGCAGTCAGTGGCACAAAGAGCCCTTGGTCTCTGCCCCCCTGCCAGTGACACATCCAGTGTTAGCGATGGATCCACTCCTGAGGCCTCCTGCCTTCTTCTGACTCTCTGACTGAGGAGGCACACGTTTCCTCACACGCTCACATACCTTTGCTCCTGTTGTGAAATGTGACCTATGGTGGCTTTCCCCTCTACCCCATATTGTGGGCCAGGACATGTGACTGATACCTAACTTGCCAAAGAGGACAGGCATTTGAAGAAGTGGAGACCCACCACCGCCTACCTTGAGCGGGCAGCACAAGACTTAACTGGATGTCAGGATGAACCCGTCTCTTTGAGTGCAGGGACCTCTGCATATGAGGAAGATAGTCAGACCTCTCCTCTGGGAAGAGACTGTCTTCTTCAAGGGAGATTCTTTCTGAAACATTTCACCCCACTGCCACGTGTAACAGATGGAGACATTACATATTCAGATTGAAAGAGTCATTACAGATTGTGGTACAGTTTAGTGGGAAAATTAGTCTTCCTTTCTTAGGCTTGAAATAATAGCCAAGAGGGTGAGGTGTCAGGACTACCACTGTTTGCTTTTTTACTAGGGAAGTCACCTGGAGTCTTTCACTGTGTGTAGGAAAGGTTGAGCTCAGATGTTCATAAAGCTGTACACTTTCAAACAACATTCCAAAAGCTTCTAAACTCTCTAAATCAGCAAGATAACTGCTGCGGCACACCTTGACCTTTCAGTAGCACCACTTAGTGAAACTGTGGCGTGAGTACCTTTTTCTGCCTCATGGTACTGCTCCTTCCGATGGGATTTTTAAGCGGAAGCATGAGACATTTAGAAATAGCAGCACCTACCTTCCTTTTTTACTCACCTCATTGCCTGACAGATGGTACATTCTTGCTTCCTGGAGCAAAGGAAAGACATCTGGACACTGTCTGATGAGTTGATCAGCTTCAACAGTCTCTACGAAATACCAGGGGTCCAAGAGGGGCAGCCGGACGTTCTCCAGCACATAGGGCAGGAGAGGAAACCTTTCTGACTCCTTGTAACGAACCCAGTTCATTACAGTTTCGAACACTTGGGCCTCTTCTGTGACATAGAGGTCATCACTCTTCAGCGTGCTGCAGAGGATGTCGGCCGGCAGCTCCAGGAACTCCTCGTAGTTCAGGACCTGGGTGAAGTTCTGGATAATGTAGTTCTGCACTTGCTGCTTCAGGCTGTGCAGGGAGTGGGCATCAGCCAACCTCAGGATGCCAACACAGTTCTCCGGCTGGAGGGCCTCTGTAAGAAAACTGGCACAAGCATCCACCATGCGAAGGAACTGTGGACAGAAAAGGCATGTTGTAAGCACAGAGTGGTTACTTGTATGACCACATCACAGGAGAGCTGTGGATCTTTGAGGCTGGATCCCATGCAGCCATGTGCACTGCAGCACATGAAATTGGTCGTACGAGGGCAGGTATCACCCAGAATCTGAAGTCTGAAATTAAAATGTCTTCTTCCCACTGTTTTATTCTCCCTCTGCATCCATATTATTCATTTTCCTATCTCTCACAGGACACATGACCTGTGAGAGTCATGAATTTTACTTTATTTCATTCAAGTAAAAGGTTTTCTACCATTTCCCCTTCCCTCTGTGAGATCTCAAAGCACTAGCAACCATGAAGTTACAAAGAACAGATAAGGTCCACAGGCTTCAGATGTGCTTACCCTGCTTCATCTTGCATGTCAGTTTACATCAGCTAGAAGGGTGTCTGGGTTTGGAGTGCAGGTGGCTCCACTGTCTGCATTTATGTTCTCACCACCCAAACTCTGAACGTGTCTGAGGCCTTGCAGGGGTGGTGGGAAATGAGTGCTGAGCTTCTGGGAGGTTTGGGCCAAAGTACAGCCCCCACCCCACCTCACCCCTGAGTGTATGGGCATGCTGTGCTGTACTGGGTATGTGGTAGGAAGACCCTGGCCATGAGCAAATCTTTGAGTTGCCTGATAACCAGGGTTGTCTGGCAAGTGTCTGTTGGGGGGGGGGGCAGGGGGGCTTTGGAGGTTTTAGTGGCCTTTGTTTTCCTTGTCATCACCAAAACCCACAGATGTGCATTTTATACACAGAATCTGCTTAATCAAAGAACTTTACATGTTGGCGTTGGCTATGTTCAATAGGGCATTGTAACCACTCATTAATTTCCTTGGCAGAATAGCTGCACCTGAGGATTCCAACTGTGCAGATCCTGGACCACAGATGCCTGGGGGCATTTGCCATGAATTAAGATGTGAGCTGGGTTGCTGGTGATTATTCAGAAATTGGGAACCAGTTTGGGTTAGAACGGATAAGTTACAGTGCTTTGTCGTTCGCTTTCTGTCCCCTGTGTGTATCAGTATTTCATGTTGGGTTTGCCCCTGAGCAGTGCAAACAGCAACATAGAGACAGATGGGTCAGAACTAATACTGTGCCTTTCCGTCTGTGTTTATTTGAGTCCCTTTTTCAGTCCAGTGTCAGCAAACAAACCATTTTAACTCATTCTGCCCCACTGGGAAAAGTTGCACAACACTAATTTAGGGGCAAAGAGGAAGCGAAACACTTTTAAACACTATCCTATGTAGATTTGTTTCAGTAATTAGGGTAGAACCTTCCAGACCCCACGGTGTTACGTTGGCACATTTAGACTGTTTACCAGAGCTGAGCGATCGCAGACGCCACATACAAACTACCCAGTTCCTGTTTTACATTTAGATGTGGTCAAGGGTTTAGAGAAATGCAACTGCCTGATGATCAAGGGTATGAGAGGTCTCACAATATGTTGCTGCTGTTGTGATGTAAATATAGAATCACAGAATCATAGAATAGTTAGGGGTGGAAAGGACCTTAAGATCATCTAGTTCCAACCCCCCTGCCATGAGCAGGGACTGCCACAGCACTCAGTGCCTGCCCTGCTTGCGGTGCCTGTCCTCTGAGCTGGCACAACGCTAACAGTTTAAACTCACCAGTTCATTTCCTTGAGGATCTGGAAGGCCTTTGTCAATACTGGGTAGTCTCAGACCTGAGGCAGGTTAAGCATTAGCCCTTTAAAAGTCAGCAGTAACAACATGCAAATCTGGGATTTGCCAAGGTTGCTCGTCAAGTCATCCACAGGTCCAGGAATAGACCCCAAATCAACGTTCTCACCATCCTACAACCTAGTCCCTGCAGAGTGCTCTAATTATTTATACATGGCTTGCTAAGAGCGATACTCACAAGGTGAGAGCAGAGGGGTTTCTCCCACGGTCTAATGGCCACGCAGGCCCCACTGATCACACCGGGTAGCTGATTTTGTGGCCGGATGAATGCGGAACTGCGAGTTGTGGGTGTGAGAAACAATCCCCACCAAGGGCCTAACCGGAGAGGTTGGACCGCTCGGGAGCATGTCAAAGCAGGACTTTCCCGGGTTGCTGCTCCTCATCCCCGTGCTGCGCTGTCACCCCACCGCACCCTTCATTTAGAGACAAAACTCCCCCAAAAATCCCCCAGACTTGCTGGGCATGCTTCAGTCAGTCCCATGAGAGCAGGTGACGCAGGAGAGCACCCAGGAGGATGATACCCCTGAGCTGCTGCTTCATCTGCTCTGACTGTAGTGGTAGGACAAGGGGTAATGGGTTTAAACTGAAACAGGGGAAGTTTAGGTTAGATATAAGAAAGAAGTTCTTCACAGTGAGGGTGGTGAGGCACTGGAATGGGTTGCCCTAGGAAGTTGTGAATGCTCCAACCCTGGCAGTGTTCAGGGCCAGGTTGGACAGAGCCTTGGGTGACATGGTCTAGTGTGAGATGTCCCTGCCCATGGCAGGGAGGTTGAAACTAGATGATCTTAAAGGTCTTTTCCAACCCAAACCGTTCTGTGAATCTGTGATTATCAAACCTTGTCTTGGCTGGCACAGCTGGCATGGAGCTAAGCACTGTCCAGCCACAGCCACTCTGTCTGTCCACTGCTAAGTGGCTATAGGATGGTTTTCAGATAACTGGCAAGGTATTTTCCTTATAGTGCCTGGTTTAGGAAAACACATGGATGGAGGTGCTTTGGACGTGGCAGAGGGTGCTGGGCTAGATCCAAGGTGGGCACCAGCCTTGTGAGCGTGGTGGCTGAGCAGCTGCCAACCCAGACAGAGGAGGTGACTGTTGAACTCATGTTGCAACTGTGCTCTAGGTGGAAAAATACGTGTCTGGGTCACTTCAGGGTGAGGCTTAGCTGTTCAGCAGCTCCCTGTTCCAAACCTGCCTCCCCAGGAGACAACCTCTGTGCACAAAGCACACTGCTCTGTCTGAATGGCATTCTACCTCTTCCTGCTGTCAGTTTTGGCTGCATTTGGTCAAAACTTATTGGAAGGGGCTAAGGAAAGGCATAAGTATATAAAGCCTTTTCAAAAACAGTTTCTAGAGAAAAGTGGAGTATCTATATTGGAATACCTAGAACTGTGCAAGTTCTTTTGTGCTACTTTGTCAAGCCTGAGAGATTGAGAAGAAGCACTGCCAAAAATTGCTGCTAGTCAGATAAAACAGTTCTATTTGGAATGTGGTTTTCTTACAGTAAATTGCAGAATTAATCTTTTCAGCTGTTGATACATTGAAATAAAACATTTGACTCTTTCAGCTGTTTCTGTTTGTTCTTCAGCATAAATAGTAGAGACAAGCTGGCAAAACACTAGTAGATACTAAGTCTTCTTTTACACAAAACACATTTTCAGCCAAATATCTCACCCATGTATAATGTGAGGCTTTAAGGCCTTATAAATCTCGATAGCATCCAAGACAGTTGCTGTAAGACTTGCTTTCAGTTGAACATTCCTGGTTTTCTAGGGTTTTGTAGTTTACTTTTTTGCTTGTGGCACCCTTATGAATTTATCATTACTCTAACAGGGTTTGATAGTTTTCTTAAAGCCTTGGGAATCAAATTTAATCCTAAGTTTAATGAAAAATCAGGAGGAGAAATGAAAAAATGTAAGTTTATACTTCGATGGCTTCAGAAAAGAAAACAAAACCATGAGGAATGATCCTAAGGAAAAAAGATTCCGAAGAAAATGAAAAGTGTCATAAAACTGAACCAAAAGTAACCTTTGAGTGCTACCAGTTATTGTTCTGCTTGAAGATGTCAGTCAGATACTGTACACTGACCGCCGGCAACATTAAAGCAACACCACCTTTTCTGAGTTACCTTGGGGACTACTTTGTGATAACTTTCCCTTCTCTCCCCACAGCAAGTACCAGCTCCCTTTACCCCAAAAGCCATAGTTTCATTTCAGAGCAAAACCTCACATGTAAGTTTCAAGAATCTGAAGTTCCTATTAAACCACGATGATTATGGAGTCAGGTGGTTTTTTGCCTTCTGTAATGAAAAGACTGGACACACACACACATATTGGCACATGGCAGGTTGTGCTGGTTGCAATTTGTTAGCAATTTGCAGGTTGGTACCAGGGACTGTAATTTGGTAGACCTCACAGGTGATTTACGGGGCACGTGAGTACCTCATGGACCAAAGGCTGAGTAACACTGCTTAAATCTGACTTCCCACAAAGTCCCAGGTCATGACTAAAACCCTTTGTAGAGGCCTACAAAGGAGGATGCTAACTTTGGCTGGTGAGCCTCCATCTCAAGGCAACGGAGAGGGAGAGGCGAAGTCAGCTTCCTGCTCTGGCCAGCCATGCCAGCCGCTGTGCGCTAACTCTTTTGGCCTGGAGGGCAACCAGCCTTTGCAGGCTGACCTGAACCTTTTGGAGCACTGTCCCAGCATGACAACCCTTTGTATTGCAGTGTCAGTAAGTATGAGGCAAAATGCTTCCAGAACCCATAAAATCGGAGAAGTTTGCAGTGTGTTAGCCAGGGTAAGATATGGTGTTGCTAGAGCAACAAGACTGGGTCTGTGCATTTATCTGTACCTGAAAGAGGCTGGCAGCTTCCAAGACTTTCTGTACATTTTGCTTTGTGATGAGCATCTTGCTGGTGTAGGTGTAGTCCAAGAGTATATTCATGGTTTCTGCATCAACTCCTTTAAGTATGATCTTTTCTTCATATTTCTCTCTTAAATCATTGCAGAACATGGCCCTGAAAATAAAAATATGTATCTTTTACCACATCCCAGCCAGGATGAGGCATTCTGAAAACATTTGGTTATATAGATTTCAACACAGAATACTCTGATTGCTTCATATTTTATGCAATTAGTCCTGTAGCAAAGTAACAAGGCAAATCCTTTTGTTGCTTTCGTATTTCTTTACTCACGAGTTTGATAGAACATACACATATGATGGATACCCCAGAGCTGGGCTCTACAGTAGACCTGGAGCTCCATGGCAGCCAAAGGCACCTGGAACCACTCCTGAGTGGTGGTCTGTGTCTGGATTGGTGTTGCAGACCAGTTGTAGTGTCTCACCTGCTGGCCTCTTACACCCTTACTCTTTGTTCCTAGGCCCAGCTCGTTAAGCCCAAACCATTCTCCATACCTCAACACTTAGCACATGTACTTCATAATCCTTGGCAAGGTCAATATACATGTGCTTCCAAGCTGCAGAACGCTGCTTAGACTGAGCCCTGAGGGCTAGACCAGGTCCATGTGTGCGATAGCCTCACCCCTAAGCTTCCCAGCATATCTTTGACCCCATTAATACAAGGGATGGGCCAGGAGAGAATGGCCTATGGATTGTCTTCTGTTTGAGAGGATGACTTCTCTTCTGCTAAAGTTTGGGAGCGTCTGGTGTACTTGTAGAGTTGGTACCTCTTGGCTAGAGAGGTACTTGAATAATCATTAATTGGAACCACAGTTAGCCAGAATAAAGTGATTTCATGCATGTTTATACCACCTCTTCTTTGGTGGATAATAATGCATTTGAAAGGCAGCCGCCACACTTTGGCACTAGTCAAATATTTCATGTGGGATATAAATCAGAAATGTCTCTAAGGGCTATGTGAATCCACTTTGCATTGTGATAGCTGAAAGGCAAACACACACATCTTCATCTGCATTTCCAATGCATAGCTTTAAGTATTTCTTCCAGTGCTTTTGTTCTTATTTAGGAATTTGATTGCTCCCGTTTTGTTCACTGCAGAGAGTGAGATTTGACATCATTCGGAATCTGGCTCAACAGATTCAGATCACGTTGAGTCCACTTGTAACTGCATTGGTGGAAAACATGTGCAGATCTAAGTGTAATTAGAAGCGCTCTTTATCCTGCATGCCAAACCCTTCTTTATTAGTCATGTACGATGTTGACAGGACAGTGTAACCTGGGAAGTGGCTATAGGTCCAAAGTCTTAGGCCATGCTTTTCTTGTAAAAGTGGTGCCAGAATAAAGCTGTCTGATTGACACATTTTCCTGGAACCAAGATGTAAACAGTTTTTATTGCTAAGCAGTTAGGCATGGTGAATGGCAAATGGATGGAAGATACCAGCTGCTTGTTGCTCTAAAAGCTACCTGTTCCTTGCCTCACCAGAGACTTTATAGCAAGAGAGAGCTGGTATTGGTTATCTCAATGTATAAAACTGCTTATTAGATAAAGAGACCTGACTTTGAAGCAGGAAACTTGGGCAGAGATGTTACTTGCCAGAGAAGATGTTCAGCCAAAATTCTCATTTTCCCTTCACTCATCTCAGCCTATGAAAGGTTTTTCATTCACTGCTCTGCTCTGTGGTTCAGTTTCTGCTGCCACTGAAATCACAGTATTTGAAAGGCATTAAGACAAAATGCTCCTTACCTTGAGAGAGCACAAGACTGGGATTCTTCTTTTGGGAGTGTCGAATGATATGTGTCTGGGGCATGCAGGCAAGTGGCCTTTTGAAAAGAACAGTCTTCAGTACCCACTTCTCATTGGGAAGGAGAGGAAGGTTTGTACAGAACAGCCCTTTCAATTGCATGGGATTGATAGGTGCCAAATGCTTCATCTCAATGAGAAATAGGCCATTGTAGGATGCAGGTGTTGTCTGCTCTCATTCTTTTTATCTCTTAAACTGGTGACCACAGTCTTGAATTTAACTAACCCTGCCTGGGAGGTGAGAGATCTCACTTCAGGCAAAGACAGAGTGCTTGGTGGGTATCAGTGAGAGATATCCAGTGTTACACCATTGCAGGGCTGCTCAAAAACTGGCCTTGGGGTTCTGGTGGAAGCTTTGCACAGGGGTCTTGTCAAAGTGCTTTCACCTATCTGTCTCCTAATCTATGAACTTGTGTTACAGCTGCCATCCACTTATGATCTCACAGGGTATGGATACATGGAACAAGGCTATAACCTGCAGAAATCACACATCTAAAGCACTGTGCTCTCCCACCGGCTCTCCCACCAGCACTCCTCTCTGTGCAGGTGGCAGGGCTGAATAGGGCAGTACTGTCCAGGAGATCTGACTCCTGTTGTGGCCTTCCTTCTGCTCAGATGGAGCAGACCTCATTCTCACCCTGTGTGCTGATGAGAGGGAACACCCTGACATCACTCAGGACTGCAAAGGCTGAACTTCTCGTCTAGGGATTAAAATGCTGCTTCTCAACCTTTCTGTACTTACCCAGAGAGGTGTGCGATTATTTTCTCCAGGACTCAAAATCCTTCAGATGTGGCTACTAATTTCATTGTCTGTTTCCCTGGTTCCTGTCCCTGTGTAATTCTAAACTAAACCTTTGAACCAACATTTACTCTCAGAGATGCAGATCTGCAGTGGGGGCCTAGGGCCAAATTTAGATATCTGAAAATTAATAAAATTAGAAAACCAGGAAGAAATCTCAATTAAATAAGTGAGGGGTTGCAGTTTGTAAAGCACTTCTTAAGCACTCACCCACACTGGAGTGCTTTTGTTTGGAATTATGAACCTGACTTCAACCAACCATGCTGCAGTTTGAGGACGCTTTGGGAAATACTGCTTCGACCCCTCCCAGCCCCATTCTCCCACTACTTTGGACAGTGTGGGAGTAAAGAACTACTCTCGACCTTGGTCAGCTTGTATTTCCTGTCTGCTTTGTTACCTTCATCCAGGTAAATGCTTTTACGTCTGTAGATGCAGGACGTGTCAGAAGTACTAGTCTGTCTACTCTCAAGCAGTGCTGAAAGAAGGACGTAAGGACATGGAACTGCTGGAGCAAGTCCAGAGGAGAGCCATGAGGATGATCAGAAGGCTGGGGCACCTCCCGTATGAAGACAGGCTGAGAAAGTTGTGTGCATGGAGACCTCATAGCAGCCTTCCAGTATCTGAAGAGGGCCTACAAGGATGATGGAGCGGGACTCTCCATGAGGGACTGTAGTGATAGGACAAGGGGTAATGGGTTCAAACTTAAACAGGGGAGATTTAGGTTGGATATAAGAAAGAAGCTCTTCCCTGTGAGGGTGCGGAGGCGCTGGCACAGGGTGCCCACGTGGTGCCCAAGAATCTGTGGCTGCCCCATCCCTGGCAGTGTTCAAGGCCAGGTTGGACACAGGGGCTTGGGGCAATCTGCTCTAGTGGAAGGTGTCCCTGCCTGTGACAGGGGGTTGGAACTGGATGAGCTTTAAGGTCCTTTCCAACCCAAACCACTCTATGATTCTATGACTAGAAGGTGGTAACTTTAACTGTGTTTAAGTCAGCTGCTTGCATTATGGCACCCAACGTTCAGGAAGGGGGTTGTGTAACATGCTGTTGTAGGGGAATGAAGCCCATGGCTCACAGGGTCCCCTTGCTTTGCTCCCGTGTGTGGGTGTTAGAGGCCCTGTAACAGCATGGGAAGTACTCACAGGAATAGTATGATTTAAGAATTTCTTCTTTCTTTGGGCCCGTGCAGCTTCTAGTGAATTACGGCAAGATGAAGCAAGACGCTTTGTGAGTAGCAGAACTACATCAGCTCAGTTCTCTGCAGACTTGTGTCCTCCTTTCCTTCTTCACAGTAACCTCAGCTTCCTCTTCCTGAGCCCTCCATTCTCTCTCATTATTCCTCTCACGCACATTTCACTGTCCCTCTCGGGACACTCAGCTCTGTGCTTTGGCTGGTTCTGGGCACTGCATGTGTTAGCTGCCCAGGACACGGTGCTCCTTACCCAGCTGTGCACCACAGGATCTCAGTCCTGGCACCTCTCCTCTGCCTACCTGCAGATTTCCATCAGACTTGTATGAGCTTCTGAAGATTTGAAGATTTGATTTTGAAGATTCTGGGATTTCCACCCTCTGCCAAATGTGACTGAAACGAACCCAAAGAGTCATGACAAGAGGCACTAACAGACAGGCAGACAGCGTGATATAATAAATCTCAACTCGTAGAGCAGGTAGGCAGACCCTAGCACATGTGCAATTGCCTTGGGGTGAGATGACCTCCAGCCGGGTATCCTCCTCTCTTTAAAGGGACGGGCAGAAGCTTAAGTGGAAAAATGACAAACAATAGTTATCAGAAAACTTTCTTGCCTGTTTTAAGCTGTTGAAGTTCCTTCTGACTGCAGCACCTCAGCAGAAAAGGACTTGTTTCTTTCTTTTGTCAAAGTATCATTATGGTAATTCTGATTGTAATTTGAGCATCTGCTCTCCTTTCTGCACTACAATGCTGGTAAGAAATATTTGGGCATCTCTGCTTTCAGTTGCACGTTTTCGCATGTGCAATGTATCTAGTCTAGCTGTAGAAATAACTCCTATCTCCATATATTCACAGAGATTATTATGAGATGATGAAAGAGAACTTTTCTTCCAGGCACTACCAGCAAAGCTTACCAGACTCCGTTAAAATTAGCTTTCTGCCCATGTCACAAGTGGTCACAGGTTCTTTTTTCTCGTGTTTCCTCTGTAGCTATTCAGTCATCTGACCACTCTAGCAGTTAAAAAAAGATCACAGCCATGCAGATGTAACTATCTAAATTATAATGGAAGATCTGTGTTAAAAATGACACCGAGTTCCCCTGTCTGTCTCAAATCTGTTCTTGGTGGCCAGTAGTCTCAGACTACTGTAATAATACTGAATTAAAAACTCAAGAGGACCAGAAGGAGAGGGTGAAATGGTAAAACTGCTTTCAAGAAGATATTTTCCAATGCAATTAATTGTTGGTAACCCTAGGAAAGACTGAAAATTCCTTCTCTTTCCTCCTCAACAATTTTATGCAATACGTATTTTTGCCACAGAGTGGTAATAGGTTTATCAAGTTTCACAAACCCACTCCTATCTCAGTAAAAATACTGTGTGATCTGAATGAACATTCCTCTTTGCCTGAACCCTGAAGGGACAATACCAGGGGCTACAGATACCTGGTTACAACAACATTTTCTCACCCACTTGTTTGCCAGCTATTCTCTGTTTCTTTGCATGCCTCCAGCGGACTTGCTGAGTGCCAGTATCAGAACTCCGGCAAATCCACAACTTGGCACCTGCCTTATTTAAGCCTCCAACTTTCAAAGAGCTGAAAGGTGTCAGGAATTACAGATTCACTGCAGATTTGTAGAATTTAGCACCCGGTTTATGCTCCTTGAAGATCTACAGTTCAAGCCTAAGAAGCAAAGTAAAACCTCAGTCACGTTATTGGGTGTTTCTTACATGCCTTACCTGAAATAATTGCTTGCTGCCGCAAGGACCACTCGGTGACAGGAGAATTCCCTGCTGTCCACACACAGGATGACATCCGTAAGGGAATTTTCAAGCCGAAGGTTCTCCAGGCCATTCTGGAGCACCAGGGAGAGACCTGTATCATCAAACTTGACCTTTTCACCACTTGAGACTTCCACTAGGTCCCCCATTTTCCTTGAACACTCATTGTCCAAGGAGATCTCGGGCTCCTCAGAGCTCTTCTCCAGCGTGTCCCCCATTTTCTGGCCAGCACTGTCTCATTCTGTTGGTGCTTCAATCTAAAAAGAGCTCCTAAGCTTCAGACGAGTCACACTGCAGAAGTTGGGCGGATTTCCTGTCCAGAGGTCTCTGCTTATCTATAGCTGTCACACACACATAACAGGAAGCCTTGCACTTTCTCATCCTGTTAACACAAACAAAGGCTGGGTTTCTTTCAGTGAATTTCAGGCAGTATCAACGTGTTTAGAAAGGACTTAAGATGCCTCTGGATGTGAGAAGATTACAAGTGACAGGGAAGGCCTGCTTCCCTCCCGCAAGCCAGTCCCTGGCTGTTATCCGGATCTGCTGGTTGTAGTGATAGGTGCACCATATGGCTATTGAGGCAGTCCTGGCAGACTGGGCTGCTAAGGGGAAGAGGGTGTTATTTTAAGTGTCTTTTTCCAGCTATGTGATGGTTAATCACTGAGCTGGTTTTGGGGCTCACACATTCAGAAAGCCCTCCAAGTGGCCGTTTCTGTCCATCATGACATGTTAGCTGACAAACACTGGATGGCTTTTATTTAAGACAAAATTGGTGTAACTCTCTCTAGGCCATGGAGCAGCATCAAAGATCTTGTAGCTGATGGTCTTCAGGCCACGCTGCCAGGCACAGTGGTGGTGTCCTGCGTGGGTCCACGCCATCAACTCTGGCTAATAGTGGAAGCTAAAGGAGATAGCTTAGGGAGCAGTGTATGCATGCTCATCCCCACTGCTGGAGGTAGCTTGAGTCACATCTAACTTGCAGTCCCCAAGATAAACATGGATGGTGGTAGGACTGTGCATAGAGCACATCACAGTGGGGATGCTGCAGGGATGGACTGGAGCTGACCCTGCAGCAGGACAGGAGCACACAGCACAGGGCTGAAGGCTTCACTGTCACCTGGGACTGAACTGGACCTATATGGACCTCATCTAGATGAGCAGCTGACCCAAGCTGGCTGAGATAGTAAGCCACACAGCCTATTGAAAGCAACAGGGTAAATCCCCTGGCTTGCTTAGGAAACTCATGCTGCAGAGTTGGAAAAACACACAACGCAGGGCTAACTTCTAACTGTGGTAGCTTGAGTGCTAACCAACCTTGCCTTTGTGATACTTCTAGAAATCCTCGTTTGGCCAATCCTCATGGGTTTATTGTGTGTCTGGTTTCCTCTTTTGTCTCCAGCTTGCACAGCTGAATTCACAGTGTTATGGGAAACTTCCCTTAGAAGAGAGAGGTGAAAGCAGCATTCAGAGAGAGCCAGATTTAGAGGGGTCTTGTATAGGATAGGATGATCAAGGGAAAGGAAAGCAAAAAATCTCCCTCCCGCTTTCCCCCACCTCCTTGTAACAGGTTTTTCCTCATTTTGTGTAGTCTGTGCAGTGCTTTGGCTTTTTTTTTTTTTGATGTGAATGTGTTCCTGCTGCCTTTTGTGCTAACTTTTGCTAATGAATGCTTCCTTTTTTAAAGGCAGTCCCACCTTTCCACCAAGTACTCCTCCAGAAATGCCAGCAGAAAATGAAGGAACCCCCTCAAAAGAATCAGGTGTGCTTTTAAAAACACAATATTTTAACCCTATCTTGGGTCAGGTTCTCTTTGTTTATATTGCTGCGACATTTGACCTTAGGAAATTCACCTTATCAGGCTTTTCTCTGATGGTGAAAAGCTTCATATTTTCTTTATCTGTTTAAGTGAAAGCTGAGATTCAGCAGCAATCACTTTATTCCAGTTACAGAAGCTTTAAACAAAGCATTAGCAGTTGCAAAAGCTGAAGTAAGATCATACTGGCTGTGAGTGCTGGGAACGGAAGCCCTGCAGTAACTAGGTCGGTTGGTAGCTGTGGTACTGTCAGCATGCTACCCATTAGCACTGTAGAAAGGATCTCAGTAGCTCAAGCAAGTGACTAGTAGTAGCAGTGATCACTATCTGCAGTCTGTCTCCTTCTATGCCATTGCCAACTCGTATGATGTGGGTTTAACCCTTTTCCTGCCAAGCACCCCCCCTCCTTTCTTCTTCTGTCAGTCTGTTTTCATTGGGCTGCTTAGTATTTACAGAGTGCCTTGCTCAGGGTTTAATCCCCAAATGTAGTAGCTAGTTTCATTATTTAGACAAGCACCAGGGCAGTGCTGAGGTGAACGTTATATCTTTGCAAGTATAAGGGAACAAACCCAGTACCAGGGAGCTGCTTGCCTGAGCTGCTCTATCTCCCAAGACTGCAGCAGCAACATATTACTTAATTTGGGGTAAATCCAGCTTGTTACTTCATGGTAGCGGCTTCCAAATACGTTCTTCTTTGTGGCCTTCAGAAACTTGTCCTGGCTGCACTCCTATTGTTTTCATTACAGAAATGAAATGCTCAATCTGGTAAGAGCTGAAGGCTTGTCTGTTCATGACCTGTTCATCTCTTGTCTTTAGCTTTTACATACTGCATTGATCTAATGTCAGTTCTGTACCAGCTTGAGATAACTGGCTGGAATTATGTGTTGTATAATGTATATCCACCACTTCTGTCACACAGTAAGTTTACAGAGCTGTGTACAGACTACTGCTGGTACGTGTGTCTTTGTTTTGTACATGTTTGGTGAGCTGAGTTCAGAAACTGCTTTGCATCCTGCCCTGACCTCCTTACCTCTGCATCCTCTGTTAGACATTGATCCCTGCTTGAATGTTGATCTGTAGCAAACACCAGGCCAGTTTCAACTGACTGTTCCTGAAACCAGTATTTCATCACTGTGGCGTTTCAGTGCTGTAAAGCTTAACCATGCCAGGTGAATCTGCCCGGGCTGGCCAGGGGTCCTGGTTCTCATCCCAGAGAATGAAAGATTCAGGCAGTCCCTTGGTAAAGTCATGGAAATGGGGCCACGATTAAGACAAGGGCCAGAAGAAATCACATCTGGGACACCCACCAACAATGGATTCAGAGCAAGGACCTGACGTATTCTTAAAACAAAGGCAGAGGCACAGAAACCTATTTCTGACAGTTTTGACACTTGTTTTGCTTCCCGCAGTCCTGGTACTTTAGTCCTTATGAACCTAGCGAGTCTGAGAGGGACCAGCAAAGAAATGTGGGAGCATGTGGCTGCCTCAAGGAAGGAGGGTTTCCAGACTGAGCAGAAAGATGCTAAGCCAGCCTGGTATCACATTGGGATCTAGAAACTTGCTACTCTAGGTAATGAGCAGGTTGTTGAACTTGCAGGTGTCAATGATTTTGTATTTCTGTCCTGGAAGAGAGCTGTCCCGTGAGTGTCCTGTCACTGCAGATCTCTCACAGAGTGCATCCTTGCTGTCTGTCTTCTTCCTCTTACTCCAGACCATGTCCATTTTATGACCAGGTATGTGTATTCCATGACCAAGTGGCTGCTGTTGGCTGTTCCACCTTATACTACTCTCAGTGCTGCAAAAAATCATCACCAGAGCTGCCTAGGAGCAAGCAGATAACTTGCAGAGCTGATGCCACCCAGCAGCATGTTGACAGCTACATCTTCAGACCTCAACACACTTCAAGATACTGGTGCAAGGGAGCATTCTTTCACATGAGGTGGCCTGGGTAAAGGTGCTCGCTTCCAACAGGAGGAGGACACAACGGCGGGAGTCTTGGGAAGTTTTTGAGTTCTACCTGAAATGACTGCAGTCACTTCCACTGTGCAACCCAATAAATGCTGCAGAAAAAGCCTTACAATGCAGAGAACTCTGCTGGGGGCACATAGCCAACTGCTTCATGCAGAGATGGTTCCTTTGTGTGGAAGCAGAGATGGACGCAGAGATGGGGAAGCTGGACACGTGGACACATATCAGGGCTCTTCTAACCATGAGCTATTTTCTAGCATGGTGCAAAGTAAGATAGCTTAGGCCCAAGATAATCTTGCCAACCCTGGAAAGCTGCTGGATTTTCGTCTGTATTTTCAGTACATTGGGATAATGTTCACTAGCTTAAAATAGCGTGTCCTTATTTTAGCTATGGGGAAACAAATATGATTTTTGGTTTTGAAAATACATCCAGAATTTGTGGATCAGATTTTCAATGAACTGCAAATTGGCATCTTTGTTTCATCACAGTTATGCTCCCTCTTCTGAACCAGTACCACCTTCCATTTCAAAACCTACTCCTTGAGCCTTCTCACATCCCTCCCTCTGAGTGGCTGCAGTTCAAAGTCAGCAAGCAGCCATGCTTTTGGGAGGTTGGCCTGTCTCATCCCCTCACTCTTGAAAAGCACCTCCTATTCTGAGAGTATCACAATGTCACTCTGCTGCATTTAATGTCTTCCCCACTTTTGCTCTCAGACTGTTTTTACTTGTATTTCAAGTCACTGGGGTATTTCTAGAATAACTGCTGCTTCCATGTATTGTTTTATAGGGGTAGTGGGATAGGCAGGCATGCTAACAATCCAGATGGGTGACTCCAAACTGTGCTTTCACCTTATATAAAAGAGACGTCCCGGCTGACCAAACTGTAAATGATAGATTAGTTGGGTTCAGTATTCAAAGTCCGGTTGTTATCCGAATCCTATTACTCCCATGTGTGTTATTGGCTGTCGAGGTCAGTAAGTCGTAAGCCTGACATGTGAATGGGCCAGTTGAGCTTGAGAAATCTTTGATCCCCTGCTCATAGGCTTTTAAGGGAGTGGTGGGGTGGAGGAAGACTACTATTTAAATAAGTGTTTATTCTATTTGAAGAAGATGAATTGCAGTCTGGGGGTGCAGTATGATCACTCCCAAAGCTGCAGGCAGAACAAGCTTAGACATCACTTGGCGCTGTATTTTAAGACCTTACAAGCCCATGGTGAGATGCACCCAAATGAAACTGGAAGGACTGAAGTCTAGGGATGGGGCTGAATGTAAAAGTCCTAAGAAATGCAGTAGGGGCAGGCCATGGTAATCGATGAGCTCCATAACCAGCCTTCCCCATTCAGAATAGTCTTTCCTTCTCCCTCAACATCTTACACTACTACAGTTTCTTCCTGACAGTTTACTTCAAGACAAGCACTTCCCCTTTTACCCCCATCAAGATAGTCAGCTTTTGAAACAAAATAGCAGCAGCTATTTCCTTTCCTTGATGTACACAAACAGGAAAGGAAATGTGATTCTTAACGTTAGTTTCT